ACTTGGCACGGTTTCTTACTAACGCCGATATTGTCATTGAGATACTTAAACACAAACTTTGCTGAATTTTCCTAACTCGTTTGTATATGCGGCGTCCTATCATCCTCTTTGTTTTTACCATACCTCTTCCACAGAAGAGTGGTCGTGTAGCAGCTAAATGTTCATCCCCCATGAAGCGAACTAAAACCGCTTTTTGACTTGACTTGTACATTAGAAGTGCCAACAGAGNNGGATTATCATCACGGTGCTTTACTCACACCACTCTTACATGCTCGTGTTTCATTCGGCTAAAGAAAGGCACAACAATGACAGGGAATGATGAGAAATGGTTAGAGGATGATGGGAAAACTTGAATGAAGCCGAACAGAGGCTGAATTGAAAATGTGATTCACTGCCCGAGGAAGACGGGTATGCATCGAAGTTCTTCACAGACTCCGGGTAACTTACTTGAACCACATGGAGCGACAAACCATAGCTGACTTGCTGCATCTGGTCGAAAAGCATTTGTGGCCGCTTTGGCTTCTTTCGGGTCCGCGAATTCAACGAATGCGAATCCTCGAAACAGTCCGGAAGAATGAAAACTGAAATCAAGCGTGTTGGACAAGGGGGATTGGGAGTGGAAGAGAACACATTCTGATTGCTTGCGGAGGTGCGCATGTATAAAGGAAGGGAAGTGCACTGATTATCCTTCAGACTTCCCCTGTGCACACAATCCTCAGTTGGCTCTTACTAAAGCACATCAGTGATGCAAAACCGCCGTCCCACTAAAGAATTTAACTTCAACCCCATCGCATGCAAGGCATGCGGTTTACCATTATGACAAACAGCTCACACCGGGGATGAATCAAACTGACAATTCAGTTTTGCTCAGGTTTCGTCTTCAGTAAAGGTCAGTTAGTTCATTTTGGCCCGACATTAGCGAGGCTACTCATAAGTAAATGAGTTAAATGCGAATAGATAATCCAGCCAAGATTGCCCGAACCAACATGGAAGTCCTGATTTGGTGAGAGGCTCTATTTGTGTCTCTATTCGTTGCTATTGGGTCCAAGTGACGGACTGAACATCACTGAACACGACATTTGAACTTCTCAGCTAGATCACATAATCACAAATCATGCTGGTGAATTTTCTGCCAAACATTTCTCCCTCTTAGGCACCACTGATCATAACCTTATCCTGATCAGATGTAAAATTCATTCAAACCCAGGACATTTTTCTTTTGCTTGACCCTAACACGTCAGAGTAATCTGTCCCCAGAAAATATTGCTCTGCTAAGAGTCTTTTCAAGTACTTACCGATATTTTTCTTTCAAACAATCTGGGTGCCCAATATGACGTTTCTAACAAACAAGTTAAACCGCGTGTGCCGTTCTGTGATAATTTCGTTCTTTCAACACCTTTTCTTAAATGTTTTCCTCGTGAAAAAGTACGTGTATTTAAATGTGACAGGAGAGCTGTAACGAAACGACCACCTTTTCGGATCAAGAGTGAAATAAGACGGTTGGATTCCTTTATGCAACTCACCTTTTAGGGACGAGGAACTGTAAATCTCCGCGCCGTGGAATTAAGATTGTTCGCAGGCAGAAGAAAATGACTACCAGTTCTTCTGTTGATATTGAACAACCTAAAGCTGCATTTAAGTAGTCTTCGTCTGACATATGTCCCGGTTATATTGACTCAAGTTCTCCCAACATACCATATTCGGTCGAACCAATTACCTCTAGTGAAATGTATAAACACATACGTTCTCTCAAATTGTCGACCAAACCTGGTCCAGAAAAATGCAAACTCTACACTTCTTAAACACGGTGCCGCTGTTTCACATTTTCGCACACAGCTAATCGTTCACTCGAACTCTGAACTACTCTGGAGTGCTGGTGAGAGTGAGCATTACGCTCATCGCCAAAAGAACCACAAAGGCACAAACTCCGAAACGCTTCAGACCAACTGCTCTCACTTCCACTGGTTTGGAATTGATGGAACGGTCAGTTCTGAATCACCTTCAGTTACCTCTCACCAAGCTCGAAGACAAATATCAGTTAACATACAAGCATAACCACTCTACACTGAATGCCGTTTCTTCTTTCGTTCAGTTGTTCTGCGAGTCACTAAACGAGAAAGCTGAGTACTTGTACTGTATATTTCTTGATTACTCTTCCGCTTTTGACTCGATGCCCAGTTCTCTTTTACTTAACAAGCTCCAATCGTTTGGTTGTCATATTTCTCGTCTTGGGTGGCTTGGTGATTACTTTTAGCAAAGACATCAGTATGTTAAATTGGGAAAAGATAGTTAATGGCATCACTCCGTGGTTCGGGTGTACTTCAAGGTTCTGTCTTATCGCCCTAGCTTTCTGCGACTTGTTTCAGTGACTTCCGTATTACTCCCGCTGTACGACAATTCAAGTATGCTGATGATATAGCCAACTGTGTTCACATATCTAACCAATCAGAACTGATTGCATATAACAAACTGGTCCTATCCCGTTACTTATTCCACTTTATCCGACCTTAATTCCGAAAAACTCCCTGACTGTATTCTTACTTTAAACCGTTCCTTCCGACAATGTACAGTATCAGGGATAGCCGATGATCAGAGTCAGCCACGTGAATTAATTAGGTGTCACACTTGAAAGTAACCTTCGCTGGGTTATACATACCCAAGCTGTTGCTCGTAAGCCGAAAAATCTCTCCTTTCAAATAAGAAGATTGTGTCACTTCTGTCCTGATTTGTCGATGAGAAGAGCTCTTGTTCAACAACGTGTTCGCCCTTAATTGCACCCCTCTGTCAAAGATGACTGTCCCGTCATTGGTCAGCACTAACACTCGGTCCATGTTTCCCAAAATGTCGGATTTAACTAGTTTCCTCCGATCGAGAATTCATACGAACACATGTGCTGCCTGTGTTCAAGAGTCCTGGATGAATAAGGATGTAGACGACTCGATAGACGGATTGTGGAACCGGAAGGGGTGTTGCCACATATGTCAACGTTTCCCATATTATTTTTCAGTACCGCTCAAAAGGTATTGAGTGCCTAAATATACAGTGTCGCCCCCGATTTCCCCGTTTTACACAATTTTGACCAACTTGTATATAGCCCCTTACTGTACACAGTCCGATCGTATGTCATTCCTCTGCTCGTTCATACCTT